GGCACTTTCCTGTATTTTTTTGTATTTCTATTAACTTGCATTGTCCTTTAAATTGAAAAATATATAATCATCTATAAAGACCTGTAAATTTTACATATTGAACTAAGTGAATAAGTCAGCTTTGTGGGAATGTACCACCTGATCACTAAAATATGTAGTAAAATAACCCATTTTACCTCCTTGTGTATAAATCAATAAATCAATAAAAATCAAGTGTATTTGTTATCGAGATCAAGTTATCAAGTGTATGTGTAATCAAGTTTCATTTAACTGGGTTTTGGGTGATCAAAGTTCATTTATGTTTGGAAAGTCAAAATTATATTAATGAAGCCTTTGAGTAATTTCATTTTGCTGAACTTGGTCTTGATGAGTCAATATACATCATAGTACACTTGTATATTTGTCAGTTGAGTTCGTCATGATGCAGTTTATTTGGTTACTCTTAAAGCTGTGATCTGTTGTGTCCATAGAACTATATAATGCACAGTCAGAATGAATGACTATTCCACTGGCACTAGAAGAAAATTTCCAAATTATCCTTTAAGGGTTATTAAGGTGTTGTGGAGTGACTGGCGAAATAAATCAACTATGAATAACCAACAGTAATGTATTCATAAAACTCAAAACCCTACTGAACTCTGCCAGGGCTCATAGGTGGAATACTCTGGTAAAATGTCAGTCAGCCTGCTGGGATAATTCCTTTGCTGATTGCCAACTGGCTGCAGTACTACACACAACTGCAGTCACCCACCACCAGACACGTACACACATGCCGGCACTCACCATCAGACACACACACACACACACCTGCTGGCACCCACTACGACTCACACGTATGGTGATGATAGTGCTGATCTTACTCGTGACGATAGTGCTGATAAATATTAGAAAGTTTTCTTTTGCATACAGAGTTGTAGACGGTTGGAACAAATTAAGTGAGAAGGTGGTGGAGGCCAAAACCGTCAGTAGTTTCAAAGTATTATATAACAGAGAAAACGGGACACCTTGAGTGTAGCTCTCATCTTGTAACTACACTTAGGTAATTCCCTGCTGTCACCCAACCACCAGACACTATGGGAACTTAGAAAGTTCATTAATGAATTTGAGTGGAAAGATTTGTTGTTAGGCAAGGAAATAAATGAGATATGTATCAAGTTTTGTGATATATATGATGAAGGCATGAAAAAATGTTTGTGAAAACAGACATGCAAAGCTAGAAAACAAGATTGGTTCAATAGAAATTGTGAGAGGACCAAAAGACACAAAAATGGAATCAGTATAGGAAGAAGTCAAACCCTCAAACATTCCAGCAATACAAAGAAGCAAGAAACATCGACACAGCAGTGAGAAGAGAGGCAGAAAGAAATTTTGAGGAAGAGGTAGTGGTAAAATGTAAATTTAAAACTAGGCCTATTCTATAAATTCATTAAAAGCAAATTGCAGGTAAAGTGACTTCAACTGGGATAGGAAATCAGTGGCTTGTCTAGTGTCCCCTTCCTCCATTATTCCTGAGGATTTTTTTCCAGGTGAATTTTGAAATGGAGTACTGTCTTAGCATTTACAGCATCAGCGGAGTGGGTAATTCCTTGGGTTTATTAATGAGTGAAAAAGCATGAACTACTGCCATAATTTTTTGGCCTGTCTGATTTATAATAATAATAATAATAATAATAATTTTTATTTAGGCAAAGGTACATACATAAAGAGATTTTACAAAGTTTGTTGGCTTTATAGATAAGAGCTAGTACATACAATGCCTAAAGCCACTATTACGCAAAGCGTTTCGGGCATTTATAATTCAGTGAGTTCCTAGCATCTTATAACTCTTGAGGAAGAGAGTGAAAAGTTGGCTGTGATGCCAGTGTAGTGTAATTACCTAAGTGTAGTAACAGGATGAGAGGTGCGCTCGTGGTGTCCTGTCTTCCCAGCACTCTTTGTTGTATAACGCTTTGAAAGTATGTCATCTTGTCTGTGCATGATCCTATGGATACACGGCAGCCTATCCTGAGCACAAACCAAATGCTCCAGTCACAAATGCACTTCGTATGCAAATTGTAAAGTGTATTTGGATAGGAACAGTTGTTATATAATGAGTAACTGCTTGTAGAATACAGCACTGTATATGTATGCTCATTGTATGAATACATGAACATTTTATACACATTTAATGTGCATGGAGGCTGTATATTTAGTGGGAAAATAAACATAATATACATAAAAATATACATAAAATAAGTATGAATGTATTACTTACAGCTTTTACATTTGCAGTATAGTAAAAGTAAAGTAATATAGGCCTACATAGGCTAAATATTGCGTACCTAAAGTAGGTAGGATAACTGGAATGCCTTATTCTATATGTTAATGCTTTTCTCCTGAGTATGCTTTTTTATGTATGTTAAATGTCCAAAGATCATCGAAAATCATTGTTTTATGGACTCTTGGTTATTTCACGTTTCCTTTTATTATCTCAATTACTACTTTTTTTAATTAAAGCAAGAAATAACCATATGATGTAACAAAATAAAATACATGATTTATATATGACATGGCTTCAACAATAAGTAATGTGATACGGCTGGAGACATAAATGAACTAGCAGATGTGACACTTGTGCATCTGTTAATATAAGTGGCATGACTACAGCAATTCATTTGTATGACATGTCTGCAGTAGTAGACACTTTAAATAGCAGCAGCAGCAGTAGTAGGTACCTGTGGCATAGCTACAGTAGTAGGTATCTATGGCATAGCTACAGTAGTACATATCTATATATAGCAACAGTAGTAGGTATCTATACATAGCTACGGTAGTAGGTATCTACGACATAGCTACAGTAGTAGGTATCTATAACATAGCTACAGTAGTAGGTACCTGTGGCATAGCTACAGTAGTAGGTATCTATGACATAGCTACAGTAGTAGGTACCTGTGGCATAGCTACAGTAGTAGGTATCTATGACATAGCTACAGTAGTAGGTGTTTATGACTTAGCTATAGTAGTAGGGAACTGTGACATAGCTGCAGTAGCAGGTAACTGCAACATGTCTATAGTAGGATGTATCTGTGGCATAGCTGCAGTAGTTGGTCTCTTATGATATACCATGCTGTACCAACACATCTATGACCGCCTCACTAGTAGACATGTATCCTGACTTCTCCCATTAGTATGTGTATTTAACATGTGTGATATAGATGCAGTAGTATCCACGGATGTTTATGTTGCATTAGTGGGAGTGGGTATGAGAAAGACTAGAGGATTCAGGCGAGCACACAGACCCATTGGGCATTGTTGGTCACTTTCGACCCCTGGTGCCCACTGGGGGAGGCAGAGGAAAACAAACGTTGTTCCACACATTCCAAGAGTTTTTGACAAATTTGGGTTGATTTTGTAATATTTGAATCAGTATAGTTTATTATAAGTAATATACAGTATCTGAAGATTTGTAAGTGATTATTTTGTACAGATCTTGAGTCCTATGCTCCATCTTACATCAAGGGGCAATGCCATTAGTATTGTTTGTTCCTATTCTTCCCCCCTGTCATGCAGACCATGTGTGCCTCTGTACAGTATTAGATACAGTAAACACATCTAACATTACACACATCCTAATAATAATATGCGATAAAAATATTAAGTGGAACCTCGAGTGATGAGCGGCTCCAGTTATGAGCATTTCGAGTAACGAGCAAGCCACCCGCAGAAAATGTCTTGACTGACAAGCTTTCTGACGACAGTTTTGTTGTTGTTTCACAAGACGAGTTTTCCACATGATGAGTTCGGTGCCGGAACAGATTAAACTCGTTATGTAAACACTGTGTGTGTGTGTGTGTGTGTGTGTGTGTATATATATATATATATATATATATATATATATATATATATATATATATATATATATATATATATATATATATATATTTCATTGAATATGACCGCATATTCTGTGTTTATTATTTTCTGGTTTAGGGCTTCTATCCCTCTCCCTCTAACTATTTTCTTAGCATCAGGGCTTAATTTTCAATTAAGCCCTGATGCTAAGAAAATAGTTAGAGGGATAGAAGCCCTAAACCAGAAAATAATAAACACAGAATATGCGGTCATATTCAATGAAGCATGTTTGAAAGAAAACCTGCTGCCAGTATACACCAATATATATATATATATATATTTATATATATATATATATATACACATACACATACATTTATACATATGCATACATATACATACATATACATACACACAGAGGAACTGTGATGAGCAGCCCTATCTACGAGCATTTCGGGTAACAAGCAAGCCACTCATGGAAAATTTGTCTCAGTTGACAAGCTTCCACTCGAGATTGAGAAAAACCACGTGGTGAGGTTCTTGCAGATTCTCAGACAAATCAGTTATACTTTTCAAGTACTGGCTTAATTCAATTTACATTGCTTCTTTTGGGAAAATCAGTTTTGGTTTTCAAATTTTCGGTTGTTGAATCGTCTCTGGGAACGGATTAAATAAAAAACGGAGCTACCACTGTAGTAGACATTTCTGTTGATATGATGGCAGTAGAAGACATCCCCAATAAGGCTGCAGTAGTAGATATTCCTGCTGATATGACAGCAGTAGCAGATATTTCTGCTGATACTACAGCAGTAACAGATGTTCCTAATATGGCTGCAACAACAGACACGGATTTTATATCTTTACTAAAGGATATACTTGATGTGGCAATAGCATTAGACACTTCTGATAAAGGGTTACATCCATGATATGACTGAAGCAACAAACACAACTGACTTGGCTATAACATCAGACACTTTGATGGGGTTGTAACAGCAGGTATTCATAACATGATTACAATAGTCATAATTGATATGACTGCAACAATAAATACACATACAGTTACTGAATTAAAAACAAGTACAGCATATGGCGGCAATCATATTCATGCTTTGATAAGTATGACTGATATATCAGCAGTAGTCGACTAAACTTCGGTGACCTAATTTCAGGGAACACGCGGAGGCCAAGCTTGGAAAGACAAACTACACTGTATGACGACCAGGGCGGAGGGACAAGAGGGGACGGGACCAGTCGAGAAAACAGGTACTCTAACTACCATAGCTACTATCACCAATACTCCTCCAGCCAGGATGATGCCAGGTATGTGATATGACCTGCAGTAGTTAATTGCTGTCAAGCTGCAGGGAATGGCTGGTCAGGAAGGTTGTAAGCATTTTGTTTAGTTTTAATGAATAGTGATTTGCTACAAAATTTAAAATTATGCTACTGTAATATAGAATGTCTTTTTGTCTTTATCTTCATATTTATAGTTTTTTAAGTAGAGAGCATCTCTAACCTTCTTGGCCATCCAAAACCTGTCAGTTGACCACTCGAGGCCAACACCTGCCCACAAAGCCGCATGCCGCCCATCTGTTGGTCCGCCCACAGTCCTGCGCCTGCCAGCCCGCCCACCCCCTGCAGCCCCATATGTCTCTTCTTCGGCCTCATCATGGCCATGTGTCCGTGGAACATCGTCTTCATGTGTACTTCTCTGCTCAGTCTTCTCCTGCTGGGTGACTCCTCTGGCTCTCTGCTGGTCTCACCTGCTGTTTCTCTTCTGCTGCTGCTGCTGTATAATAAGGGGACCACGTCACGAGAGGAGCTGCACCAGAGACAGGCCAGCCCTTATCCACCAACCGTACATCACTCACTCTCTGCATCAGGGATATCCTCAGGCCAACTCTTAGTAGTTTACTCAGTTGTGCTTTCCATTAAGAAAATAAGGTTGAATTTCAAGCAGCTTTACAGAGAAAAAATTACGTAATAGAAAAATTAGATTAACCGTATTTACAGACCTACACTTCAAAAGTGTAAGTGAAATTTCGATGCTCATGTAGGACTCAGCTTTCTTGTAGTTCACAGTGATTATTAATAGTTTGCATAGATTTTAAAGAAAATAACCAAGAAATCGGGACACTACCTTCCAAAAAAATTTGCAATGTGATTCTAAATAGCATTGTGTATAAAAGATGATCTCTATTATTTTTTTGTCATGGTCACAATTACGGTATCCTCTGTTTTCCTGTCAACCATCATAAAAATGATTTAGTAAATACAAAATAAGTTTTGAGTAATAGCTTGTAATGCATATTAATTTGTTTTATACACAAATGGCAACAGTGTGAATATATAAAATATAAGCAAGGGAGATGACTTAGTAAAGAAATCGCATACAAAATTGTCATTATACAAAACCTTCGTTGAAAAAGGAAATGGCTTTTATTATATGTTTCAAATTACTCTGTAAATTGTGGGAAATTAATTCATTTGTTTTATTTATTGAGTTGGACATTGTAGAGAACGTTTAAACAGTTGAGCAATAGATACCTTTGTGATAAGTCAATAAAATTGTCTCCAGTAGTCATGGTGCATATTGATGATGATATTATTGATGGTGCATATACTTCAGCTATATGAAATAGAATGAATTGATTGGTTTGGTGATGCATTATTTAATAATGACATACTCTGGGATCTCTTTAATTAAAGGGTTTCCTTTTACACATTATAGACACTATAATCCAAATCATTTCCCGTGCAACTTACCTGGCCATCCTTCTCTCTCAGAATTGCACGTTCATATTTCAAGCTTTTATAGCTAGCTTGCACACTAATAACACAAGAATTACTGCAAGTAATTGCCTAATATTTGAATATTATCATGCCTTGTGCCTAACTTCAATTTGAAAACAATGTGCTTATTAAAACTTGTATATATAAACTGTATATATGTTACTTTGTTTATTATATATTTATATATATATATAATCCATGAATGTGCTTAAGGCTTTTCTCTCTATTTAATAGCCTAGCTGACCTTTTTCTGTACATATTTCTGTTTGAGGCAGAAAAGCAAGTAGCTGATTGCCACATGGAGTACAATTGGATTTAAGTTACAAATATATATATATATATATATATATATATATATATATATATATATATATATATATATATATATATATATATATATATATATATATGGCATTGATGAGAGTCACATCTGTATTAATTCAAAAGTTTAATTTGTTTGGTCTTAAGGAAAACCAGATGCATTTAAGATCAAGACAGAAGTGGTGGGGAAAGGGAAGAATAAAGCACCTGGAGAGGCAGAGGGAGGATGACTAGGTCAAATACTTGGAGATGAAGTGAGAGATCCTATCCTTAAGGTTTTAATATTATAAACCCAACACTTGGGGATTTTATTATTCATTTAACACTTTCGCTGCCTAATGCTGCATATTCCGTCATAAAACTAAAATACAGAGCATGCGGGATGACGCAAACGACGTCATGCAAAATTTTTTGCAATGGCTTATTATTAAGTATAAATATTGTGGGTGAATGAGTTTAACATTGGTCTGTGTGCTCACCGTCAATGCTCAGCCTACCTTCCAATGCAATTTGGGTGCCCCGCCAGGCCAGCGAAAGGGTTAATGTAAATACATTTGGCAGCAACTAAGGTAATCTTTTCTTTTTCCTTAGTGCTCCTTGTGTGGATAGCTTACACAAGCATCTTAGATTTGCTTGCATTTAAAAAACTGTCTCTTAGATATGCACTTGTCCAGAAGTTAGTTGGGTTTTTAGGTGTATCTAAATACTGTGCAGTATAGGGTAGCTGTAAATTTTGGTCGCATCTTAATTTAATTTTAGTGATTTCAAACTCTTGGATATGCTGCTGATAATGAATTATTTATCAAAGATACAGCTTTCCAGTAGGTGTCTCCATTTTCAAGAAGCTATCTTGTTAAAGTTTTGGATGCTGCAAACAAGATTTCCTCTTATATGGTTTATTTGTGAATTTAATTTATTTGTAATTAGTCTGATGTTGTATTGCTCAGGCAGATCATTACAGGCGGTCGTATTTCCTTCAGTCAACTTATAGGGTGTTAATAGAGGAAATAAATTTTAGTAGAGGAAAGATATTTATTGTCTTTGTGTTGCAAGTGTGTTCTCAATTTTCTGGGTTGAGATCTGTGTCTCAGCACATATGCTTATGAAGTATCCTGTTGTTCTTTTACTATTTGTTGAGTAGGTGTATGGTTTTATGTAGCCATGTTTTGTAATGGGCTAGTCCTTTTCATGCCACAGATTTATGCAAAAATATCCTCAGAGATTTTACTGATGTTTTTAGTTCAGATTTCTTTTGCCCTAAGAATATTTTGCTGATCTAGAAAATAAACTATGCTTCATTTATCTCCTTAACTTCATATTAAATATCCCTCATCTTCCCCTGTCTATGGAAAATGATCGTCCCATCTCCTAGCCACATAATATGTTTTGTGAGCATCACATTCCATTTTCCCTATTTCATACCTTTTGTGAGCAACTTTTTGCATCTTTTGGATACAATGCTCAGTTGACCTTTTCCAGTTGAATTCTCCTTGTAAGTACTTCATCCCTTTCCTTCTTTCTTGTTTTTAGGTGTTTATTATCCTTACCTTGCTAGGTATTATGGCCTCTGTGTGTCTTTTATATGGGTACCATATGCATCTCTCATTTTACCGTATCTTTTTTGACTAACCCAACTATTTTCGTCCCTATCCTACCTGTGGTTCTCATTTATCCCCCCCTGGTTGGTACCTCGTCCCTCTCTGTGTCCCATGTCGGTGCTGCGTTTTCCCTATAGCTTCGCACATGTAGCCTTGTGACCAGCACTGTGGCTGTACTCTGAGACACCATTATCCAAGAGCACCAGCAGGTGCCTTGTGTAGTAGTTGCATTACTCCCAGTAGCATAGAAACAAAACAGGCTGCCTGTATAAACTCTATAGTATCCTTAATTCACTCAATAAATTGCTGCTTATAGCTTTAAATTTTTACCTCTAACTTGTAGCTTGATACTAATTTATTATCATTAAATAATCATAATTTATTTCATTTTAGAACAGTATGCAGTATACAAATTTATCTACTTCTAAGATAATTCTTATCCCGTTTTCATGCTACAGGAAGCTATATTTTGTGTAGGGCATTACGGACAACGACACTATTATTGCAAGTAATGATCACATCGGAGCACTCATCTAATCCATTTAAATTATTTTACTTTTTTGGGAGGGGCTGCTCTTAGTGGCTCCTTGGGTGCCAGCTTAATGGATAGCTTCACCCATCTCAATCCACACCAGACCCTTGCCAGTCATTATAAGCCTACTAGAGACCAGGTCTGGTCCCATCTAAAGAAGCACTAGGAACAGGGAATACCCTAACCAAGAAAATAACACCAGAAAAGCAGGCAAGCCAAAACATATAATCAGTAAGATAAACAAAACATAGAAAATGAGGCAAGGAACCTCAGAAACGAGCGAACCACCCAGTCGTACTCTCATTAGTTCCACCTTTAAAGCTGCGCCCTTCTTGATCCACACAGGGCTTGTGTGGCTTTGAGGTGGTTAACTTGTCACTCATTCCCCTTTGCATGGGGGTTCTTTCTGGAGCTTTTCTCTACTCCAGTTGAGTACCCTTTTGTTTTTCTCCATGGTAACATAACACCAGAGTCACCAATAGGAACCCTCCTGAGAAACTATTGTTAAATGTAATGAAACGCCTCTTTCTGGTGGGTCTTTGGTGACTCTTTTAGGACCACTCCGTTGACTGTTCAGTAGCTTCAGTTTTTCAATCTTCCTTGCTGATTGACTGAGGTTCAGTCGACTTGAGAATGGTCCAGGACGGATCAAAACGTCGTCATCCCTTCACTTTCTAGTGTCTGGTCTGGGCAACATACTTCAGCCACGTTATTGTGACTCATCGCCTGCACTGAGGTTCAAGGCTAGGAAATCAAGGAGAGAGATAAGCCCCTGGCTGTGCACAGGTGGATCTAAAGAATGAACTGCCATATGACCCCAGTGGTTTGTTCATTTTGGAGGATTTGTTCTGTGCTCTGTGTACCAGCTGGTTGTGTGTTTTGGTTAGCCTGCTTTTCTGGTAGCCTTTTCTTTGGTAAAGTGATCTAGTATTCCCTGCTCCTTGTGCCTCTTTAGAGTGGAGCTGGATTTTGACCCCAAGTTTGCAGTAGACTTATTATGACTTGCAAGGACCTGGCATGGATTGAATTGTATGGAGTTATCCAGGTAACTAGCACTAAGAAGCCACCAAGGACCCATCTGTAAGAGTTTCATTAGATTCAATTTTTTTTTCTTAAGATACTTTAATTTAATTGTTTAAATTACCCTAGCCCTTTAATGCACACCGCGTCAGTTATTTCCATTAAAAATATATTCTGAAGTTTGGTGTGATTTATTAAAAAAATTATGTTGACGGTGCATAATAATTCAGTTGAAGAAATTTCCATACAAATGTCTGAATGCCATGTGTAAATTTGAAGAATATACATGTATTTCTTCTTAGAGTTTTTTGGGCTGTTAATTATGCTTGTGTCATAATGTTGAGAACATCAGTTGATGAGGGTTGTGGTTATTTGCAAGAAACTCCAACCAGTTAAATATTGTTTATATGGTAATGTGTCATGCTGACTGATTTCAGTTTTACACTATTTTTATTTATATTATTTGAACTTGGAAGACCATGTTTCCAGCTCAGCAATCATTCCTTTCAAAATGAAAAATTTATATTCAAATTCAGCCTTCCAGTTATTCTTAATATCAACTGTTTCTTCATAAAATAAAAGTTAACAGGGCCTTCATATTTTTACACTTAGTATAAATATACAGGCAGAAATGTCAATTTATTCTGAAGGCTTAATAGCAAGTTGTTAAATAATCCTTTTAAAATCATAGTGTGTATAGTTGTATTATGTCCTTGTTGGCAGTGTTTAGTCTGATTGTGACCAGACTGGTCTGTGTATCCCACCCTGCTTCAGCTTTACTTTGACATCTAATTTAAGGTGCAAGTTGCAATATTTTTTTTTTTTTTCAGCCAAAAATAAACATTCTCAACTCCCTATGTAGATGGCTAAGGCTGAAATGTTGAGATTTATTATTATTACAGTATTTTGTTTCCACAGGTATTCAGTATGAACCAAGGATAAGTGAGAAAATATTAATTGTGTGCTTAATATTCAATTAAACAATATTGTGTGTGTGTGTAATTACCTAAGTGTAGGTACAGGATAAGAGCTACGCTCGTGGTGTCCTGTCTCCCCAGCACTCTTTGTCACACTCTTTGTCATGTGTGTGTGTGTGTGTGTGTGTGCACACACACACACACACACACACATATATATATATATATATATATATATATATATATATATATATATATATATATATATATATATATATATATATATATATATATATATATACATATACATATATATATATATATATATATATATATATATATATATATATATATATATATATATATATATATATATATATATATATATATATATATATATATATATATATATATATATATATATATATATATATATATATATATATATATATATATATATATATATATTATTAAATATGACCGAAAAAGTAAGATTAATAATTCTAACACGAATTTTCTCAATCTTTCGTACATTTCTTTTCACTGTTGGAGGTAATTCAAAAATCAATTCTCCAAAATTCATTTTTATTTCTAGTCTGACGCGACACTTGAGCGCGTTTCGTAAAACTTATTACATTTTCAAAGACTTTACACATACACAACTGAATAGAACTTGTAAGTTCTATTCAGTTGTGTATGTTTAAAGTCTTTGAAAATGTAATAAGTTTTACGAAACGCGCTCAAGTGTCGCGTCAGACTAGAAATAAAAATGAATTTTGAAGAATTGATTTTTGAATTACCTCCAACAGTGAAAAGAAATGTACGAAAGATTGAGAAAATTCGTGTTAGAATTATTAATCTTACTTTTTCGGTCATATTTAATAATATATGTCTACAGGAAAGACTGCTACCAAAATATACTAATATATATATAATATACACACACACACACATACACACACACATACTGTATATACTGTTTGAGCTCGGTTATCTGAAGCCCGCTAAACCAGATATTTGGCTTATCCAACCAAAATCTCATCTGGATAATTTTCTAGCAAATATATCCGGACAGAGATCTGGATACTGTAACTAGAGAATATTTTATGTAAATTTTCAAGAACTACACATTTCAAGATCTACAGCATCAAACAAGAAGATGAACTACAACAAGGTCAGCTGAGGTTTCTGTTTAAAAATATATTTATTGATTTATAAAGTGTTTGGAAATTAAAATTTTGTTGGTTATGGTACAAAAATTGTTGAATACTGTATGTTTATTTCTGGACCTTCCTAGTAAGAATTCCTGCTTATCTGGATGTCTGACTTATCTGGTGAAGAGTCCTTCCCACAGTCTGGATAAAGGAGCTTAGCTGTCTAACATGTCTAAATGAAAATCTGGCAGCAGGTCTTCATTTAGACATGTTTCATTGAACATGACTGCATATTCTGTGTTCATACATCCTTGTTTATAGTGCACTCTACATCACATCACGATTTTTGATGTGATGCCACATCAAAAATCCTTGTGATTTGCAGTGCTCTACTTTCAGCCATTTCACTTTTAAGGCAACACTATAGATATCTCTATCTACCACTTGTAGCCCCTTTCTATTCAGACTAAGGCCTGGTCAAACACGTAATGTAACCTAAATGTTTTTACATTGTTGTTTAACATTTTACATATACACTAGGGTTACGATAGTACAGTCGGGTTCATTCTCGATGCACACTCGAGAATTCAAGGTTCGAATCCCAGGTGGGACATAAATTGTTGGGCATATTTCCTTTCACCTAATGCTGCTGTTCACCTAGCAGTGAGTGGGTACTCAGGAGTTAGTCAGCTTGTTGTGGGGTTGCATCCTGGGCAGGGTCAGTAATTTTGCCTCGGGGGAGGAGGGGTAGGGGGAACCTCAATATAAGTCTACCATGTATGTACACACTCTGGCTTCCTGTCTCTCGACACAAGGGCCTCGGGAGCCTCGTAGCCTGGTGGATAGCGCGCAGGACTCGTAATTCTGTGGCGCGGGTTCGATTCCCGCACGAGGCAGAAACAAATGGGCAAAGTTTCTTTCACCCTAAGTGCCCCTGTTACCTAGCAGTAAATAGGTACCTGGGAGTTAGTCAGCTATCACGGGCTGCTTCCTGGGGGTGTGTGTGTGTGTGTGGTGTGGGGAAAAAAAAAAAAAAAAAAAGTAGTTAGTAAGTTAGTAGTTAGTAAACAGTTGATTGACAGTTGAGAGGCGGGCCGAAAGAGCAAAGCTCAACCCCCGCAAAAACACAACTAGTAAACACAATGAATTATTATTAAACATTAATAACATTTTAATCATGAAAATTAATGTTGAGGTTACATTGTGTGTTTGCTGGACCTACACTATAGTCCCTTCTTGCATTAAGTTTTAATTTCTGCCGTCATATTTTAATAACTCGGTCTACTCTGCTGTATAGCTTCTTTATTTGACCTGGTGAATATTAAAGAAATTGAGTAGAAAGAGTTTGACCAGTTTTGTTTTAGTGGCTTTGTTTTAGTTTCATAATAATCACACCTCCTCCATTATTTTATTTAAATTGCCATCACACATCTATTAAAGTATCCATGAGCCCGAAACATGTTGAATCATGTATCTTCCATACCCGATGGATATGACTCGTGGATGGTTCGATGGTTACATGGATAATGCTTATGATAATCTGCTGGATAAGCAGATAAAAATAAATTAAATCTGTGTTTGTTGCACATATTTCATCATTACTCATTTAATAACCAATTTGTTGTCTAGTTGTGGCTCAAAAAGTAATATATGGGCCTAGTCAGATATCCAGAATCTATCAGTCTCATTGTCACAGATAATGTAATGGTTCAGTGATTTTATTTCCAGTACTGGTTATTTTGTATTTTATTTGTTAATTTAAAGAAGAGAAATATTTGTCAGATGAAACTTAAAATTAAACATGCTAAAAATTTGATTTTGAAAATATGGTTTGGGATAGGTGTGATGTATAATTAGTAAATGATCCGTGGTAACAAATATAGAGGTGTAAATGAAGATGAAAGTCTCAGAGATGTGTCAGATTATGAATAAAATGTTTTAGAAATTCAGCATTCAGCCTGTTAAGCTTTTTCATTTAGACTCATTGTCAAGTGTGAATGGATTTACTTAATTTTGTTTGCAATATATTGTAACATAATCTTTGCTCATTTCTGGATAGGTTTATTGCATCTGTTGCATCCTATTGGTTTGTGAGTCCCAGATAAGTTTGTAATCATTTCTTCCACTTTCACATTTGGTATACAGTATTTTGTTGGAGAGTCAGAGTGGGTAGATGTTTGATTTACTTGTTGGGTTTTCTAACTTCTTTAAGTCAGTTCTAACATTTAGATGCTAAACTCAGTAATATGAGCACCTTATTCCATTATTGTGCCTAGTCATGAAGCAGGTACAGTCAGCTGTTGACCACAGCTAGTTATTCAACTGCAGTATGTTGATACGCTAAACTAGATGTCTGACGTAACTAAAAATATTGTACCTAAGTATGATTTTTTGTAATATTAAGGCCTAAGAAGTACTTATTGGAATGTTAAGATTTAAGATGTATTTTTAGAAATATTAAGATCAAAGAAGTATTTCTCTTTTACAGTATAATTTTCTGTGTTGCATGTCATGAACCATATCATTTTAATACTGTACTTCAGAAAAATAAGTTAATTTGCTTCTCCTTGACTAAAATACAAATTAGCTTTATCCCCTTTCCACAGTGCACCAACAGGAGAAACTGATTATGACTACGACAGCAAGACGGCCAAAGATGAGCAAACAGATCTCGGGTACCAGAATGATCAAGAGGGTTGGTATGACAAGGACAAGATAGATGGGTATTATGGTGAATATGGTAAAGAGTGTAGTAAAGATGAAGGTTACCAGAATGATAAGAATGATGATGGCTATGCTGGAGAACAGTATGACATGTATGGTTATGACCAGTATGGGCAATATGCAGAATATGACCAGTATTACGGGTATGATAAAACAGGTGAAAACTATGATTATAGCCAATATGGATACTATGGGGAAGATGGATGGACCTACTATCAGAATTATGATGGTTATTATGGGTACTATGATGAAGCTGGTGTCTTTCACAATTATAATGAGAATTATAATTATGCTTATCGTAGTAATGAGCATTTGGACTCAATGGCAGAAATGCAAGGTGATGGTAGCAAAGTGCCGGTTACTTCCAAGATGATCACTGCACCCTCCAGCCTCGCTTCAGTCTACACTACTACCACCTCGGCCATCACCACTACTAAAGCCCTCAGTTCGGTGCTCACCACCACCACATCCTCCTCCACCACCACAAAGCCTTTGGGTAACCATGTAGCACCCACACAAAACACACAACATAAACCTGATGGTGGCTTATTTAACAAGCTACTTCCGCAACTCCCTATCTCCCTTTCATCCACTCACACCACCACCACCACTGCTGCTACCATCACTGCCACCACCACCACAGTCACCACCACACAATCCAGCCGCCCGTTTATGCAGTTAACCGTTCCACAGGCTCAGCCACACTTAGCACAACAGACAGCACAGCAGCGGGCAGCTCAGCAACAAAAGCAGCAAGCTAAGCCTGCTGGTGGTGGTTTTGGACTATTTGGTAGTATTGGTAGTATGAATAAAAAAGGTGGCCTTTTTAATGCCATGTCTGGCATAACGTCCAAGATGAGTGACACATTGAACACAGCTGTTAAAGAAGTGTCTGCAACAGCTGCTGCAGCTGCACAGCAAGCTAATGTTGCAGCTCATCAAACAACAAAAGCAGCAACAGCAAAAGCAGCTGCAGCAGCTAGAGGTGCAGGTGTTGTCTCATCACACCCAACAGCAGTGCCTACCACAGCTGTGACTACAACTCACAAAACTACGGTTCCTCATTCTGCGAAACCCTCTTTAGCCGGAACAAGAATGACCTTGACCAAACAGGAGAGTGTGAGAAGTGATAAAATGCCTGGAGATGATGCAGAAAGACGATCTTTGGCTACACTTCCAGAAACCTCAGATCCTACCTACCAGACAGATTCCCTTGACCAGGTGAGTTATTATTATCTGCATCTTGCAATCAGTAGTATTATCAGATACAATATTATCACTTGTATATTTTTATAGCTGATTATATTCCAGTGTTCAAGGAAAGTTGATCAATTATAACTTGAGTTTCTCTCATAATCTTAATGAAATATTTGTATCATGTAAAATAACAAAAAATAATTAAGCAGTGCAGTATATTTAAAACTTGAAACCAAGTCAATATTATTTTATTATCAAGCTATTACTTAAAAAATTGGGCTCAACGCTACCTGGTCTGCTCTTCTCAGACCATGTTATTTATAAGAGTTTATCTTCAGACAAGTGAGATAAGAGCTACATTAGCATGTTGAACATATATACACACACACACACACTCCATGCATTATCTTGTTTTCTTTATATTTACATAGCCCTCTTCTCCAATGGTAACCCCTGACTTGGTAACCCCTGACCCTTGAGGGACTTGAAGTAGAGGGGGGTAGAAATAGCCTAAGCTACTCTATCCCTTTGAGATGTATTTATTGCTTATCTCAATAAACATACTTGAACTTGAACTTGAAGTGACTTGAATTTTTTCTAAGAGGAATGCAGTAGAACTCATTAACATTTACTTTATTCATTGTTATTGCCCAGTTACCAAACACACCAAAATATCTTAAAGTCAGCCCCTCTCACCTCTGGCATAATTAGTAACAGAACTACTGATCACTATCCTACCTTTCATGTCACAAACAAATAAAATACTATTATATAATAAATTAACATTTAGACTACACAGCAAAAGAGCTATGAGAAACCCCCTAGTAGTGCTTAATTTAGCATACAGTACTTTACTAATTTCTAACTAGCTCAACTTCAGAACTCAGAAGAATACTAATGATGCCATTATTAGTTTACATGACTTAAAAGAATACTAATGATGTCATTATTAGTTTGCATGACTTAAAAAGAATACTAATGATGCTATTACTAGTTTACATGTCATAAAAGAATACTAATGATGCCATTATTAGTTTATATGACTTAATCTTCTTAGCTTGGCGTATAGTCGAAATTAATTCCCCATTAGCTTCACTGTCATCAACTTTCCCAATGCTACTGTTAAATAATCACTACCATAATTTTAACACTAGTATCTTTGAACATGTTAACTATATACCGGCACAGATATATTCGCTAGTTTTAAGTATATGTACTTTTGTTTAAAACTGACTATAAGTGATAACGTATAAATTATTGTAGTTTTTTTTATGTATACCAGTTAGTAGTTTTAATGCCTTTTTTTATTTTAAGAGTGTTTTTTCACCTTCTATTTTACAAGTTACTGCAAATTCCTAATGTAAACCTCAAACTACTTCGTTAGCTTTAAGAGTTGCCTGAAATACTGTCCTTGTTAGTGGCTGTATGATAATGTATACACACACACCAAAATTAAAAAAAAGATAAAAAGAAAGATAAGCCTTTATTATTTCTTGTAAATTTTTTAATAGATTAGTGAATTAATAAATTAATAAATCATAAGAGTTATAGCCTTTGATTTTGTTATTATTGGCATCGGACATCATTACTATGCTGAGATGTGAACCCTATTGTTATTTTCCTAGTTTTGCAGCATGCAATATAATAATAATAATAATAATAATAATAATAATAATAATAATAATAATAATAATAATAATAATAAAATAATTTACATATAAACAAGTGCATGATTACATAGATATTTATAATTTTTTATAATCCCTCTATTGACATGCAACTTTTTGGGCAAACCTTAAGAATAATATCTTTTGCTGTAGATAATACATTTAAAGAATAGCGATGTAAGCTAATATATAAATGCACAGTATATTAAAATTTGGAGTTTTGTTTTCTAAGTTGATATTTTGCTCTTAAAAAGTGTAAACTACTTCTTATTTGTAGCCTTTGTGGCACTAATTCCAGTAGTATTATGAAAAAATATATGTCCTACGACTATATAATTTAACATTATACCCACCTTTCCTAAGCAGTACCCGCTTGTTAACTAGTTAACTAAAATATATCCACAGATAATAATTACAGTACTTTGTGTAAGATTAGCGATGTTTCTGGTAGCTTCTAAATCATTGTAAATTGTCATTAAATAAGTCAATAATTATGTTAGCCTTGCCTGAAGTAGTGTGCATATCAGTAGCTTTGTAAGAATGTATCTCAACCTAACTTATCACTTTATGCATAATAATTAGTTTGTAGCTATTCACCTTACTAATATGAATGAATTGTATACATTTACCAAAATGTTTACAAAACACACTGTACCTTCCTGTAAGTCTATACCAACATTGTTATGTGACCCATTGTTATTTTCTGGCAAGTGTTTAAACAAAATTTAGAATATTGTATATACCCCCAGTAAATAAAATAACACAGAACTCTCTTAAATCAGTAATTCTTTGATTTTAAATTCTCTGATATCCAGAAGTTTTTGTCAACGTTCAATTTAATTTAATTTAAGGATATACATAATCTCTGTATATTAAAAAATGTGGTGTGCATCAACAGATGATTATATGACAGGTGTGCTTCAATTGTTTGTTTACTTTCCCATATTTCTCTGTAGTGACTAACTTTTGGGCTTATGTCTGCTCTGCAAAATGTTTCTTCTTTGTACTTAATGATGCAAGTTTAATAAAAGTTGTGACTGTTAGTTTTAAAATGGGAAAGGAATCATGGTCTAGCATCTAGCTCATGTGAGGGGTGACTGCTAGCATTAAGATGGGAAAGGAATCATGGTCTAGCATCTAGCTCATGTGAGGGGTGACTGCTAGCATTAAGATGGGAAAGGAATCATGGTCTAGCATCTAGCTCATGTGAGGGGTGACTGCTAGCATTAAGATGGGAAAGGAATCATGGTCTAGCATCTAGCTCATGTGAGGGGTGACTGCTAGCATTAAGATGGGAAAGGGATCATGGTCTAGCATCTAGCTCATGTGAGGGTAAAGTTTTGTGGCTAAAGTTGGTGTTGATGTTTGCAAGTACTATTCTGTACCCCTACAGAGTTGTGATCCATTGAGTAAGCGAGTAATATGAGTGGCAATATATGGGAATATGTAATTTCTTGCACTCTCTGTAATTATGAAAGTGTAATTACTGTGTGGGAGTTAAAATTGTGATGCCATTTTCCTTATAAGCCATCATACAGTGTTTTGAAGCTTCCAAATGTGTTGGTATATCCTTCCCTCTAATATATTTCATCTGTCTTGACTCTTTGAATTTTTGAGGTATTGTTTTGTCATTTGAAAGTATGTCGTCTTGTTCTTGATATTGTGTGTTTAAACAATTCTTTCGGTAATTGTGTTGATTCCTATCAGAATTTTTGTCTGCAGTGATCATATCACTCCATTTTCCTTATGTCTACTAGATTTGGCATATTCAGCATTTCCTCCCTTTTCTCATAATTCTTAGTTTTTGGATCAGGGAGCCATTTAACTTCCTGAAAGCATTTTTCAATCCAAGTATTTTACTGCAATAATGCCAGTGTAGCATTATGCCTCTTGACTATGCCCTTGATAGGGTCATCTGGTGATAGTTTACTATTTAGTTTCACCCATAAATATCCTTCCTTGATTAAAATTGTTCAGAATCTTTTCATAGAATGTATAATCTGACTGTGGCCTGGTTTCACTTACCACATACTTCATTATCCATATTAAGTTCCATGTGCCATGCATGGCTTCATGCATTTTCGTAAAATTTCATGCTCCTCTCAGAAATAGGTTAGTAGTCTTATGGATAATTTGGTGCCCTGTTTAGCCCCTAGCATTTTGAACCTCTCATATACTCGAGTTGATTTTTGTCTTACAGATATCCCATAGATTTGAATTAGGGCTAAACTATTGCATCTCTCATGCTCTTGGCTTAATTATCATCATTTGAACTCTCAGTGTCCTGAGTTTTGTCTTATGTATTTGATCCTTTTATATTCTTACTTAGGATTTTCTGTATTCCTTATTTCCTAGTTGGGCCTCATTCAAAATTTCTCATCTTCCCTTTGTTTCTAAATGAACATGGAAATTGTTCAATATTCAAGTGGCTGACCCTCACAGTGAACCTAAACTTTCTAAACCCGAAACTTTCTAAACCTAAACTTTCTAAACTTTATGCCTGAAACGCTTTGCGTAATAGTGGCTTTAGGCATTGTATGTACTAGCTCTATCTATAAGTCCACCAATCTTTGTAAAAATTTCTTGTATGTATGTACCTTACCTAAATAAACATTTATTTATTTATTTATTATTTATAAACAGTCAAGTTCCTTGGTTAAGTACCATCTGTTTTCTTGTTTTGTGAATTAGATTCACTTGAGATTTCTTAACACTGGTTGACCAGCACTTTACTTTTCCTTAATTTGCATATACAGTATATTATCTTTCCTGACCTTGACTGAAACTCAGTTTGGTTTTAAGGTTCCTACTCTGTTCTATGGCTATATAAACAAATAATTATCCCATGAAGAAGTTTGTAATCCATGCTGCTCCTTAGCATGGGTAGCTTATTCTCTCTTTTCTACAGGCCTCTTTATGGCAACAAGAGAGCTATGAGACAGCACACACAGACAAATCACAGCATCGACAAGACAGCTTTGAAACTGCACCTGATGATTCCATCTGTGATGAAGAGGAGCGTGGTCGTGATGACTACTATGATGATTATTATGATGATCGGTGGCCTAGAAGACCTTATGACTCACGTGTAAGTATAAAGTGGCATTCATCAACAGGTGCTCAAACAGCTCATCTTCAAAAATGCACATGGCTAAAAAAAATTCTGTACAGTATTATATTTTTTTGTAGGCTAATAATTTATCTAGCTTAGGCATGTATTTCTTCATAATTATAATGCATTATTCTTAAATAGATTCAACGAGAGGACAGAGTGCCATTTGTCCTTAACATTACAGTAGTCTAGCTTGCATCGTGTCTTTCATGTAGTATAGTGCAAACCTCCAATAATTAAAAACAAAACATTAAATCGTCCTGTCACCTTTAATCACCTAACCAGGACGTAGTTTTTGTAGCTAAATTGCATTGATGAGACCTGTAAAAAAGAGCATCAGGAAGCCAGTGAAGAGAGTTAAGGATGATAAAACCCACTTTAGCTGTAGATGTTTGCTAAGTTAAGCCTCTGTAACCCATAAGGACCCATACTACGAAGACGATTACTACGACGATGACCGCCGTTCTCGATACTATGAGGATGACGACTACTACAGAGATTCCTTCGAGAATGATGAGGCGTCAAGCATTGTGGATACTGAGCGAGGCCTACCTCGTTACCCATCTCAGGTGAGAGGCTGTGCAAAATGACCACCACCAGTATCTCTCTGCTTCAACACTATCTTGCTTTGTAAATCAACTAATCACTATTTTTCCTCTTTTCTCTGAAATTTTGAGTCAAATGGATCCATCTTCTAGTTTACAGGTAGGTTTTAATTTGCCAAGTTAATTTTTAAGAAATAAAGTTTGAGGAATGAAAACAAATAAAAAATTAATATTTGAAAATAACAAAACTTCACTAAGTCTGTTCAGTGCTTGAAAACAAGATCATTAGAAATCACATCATCTGATTAACAGTACAGTACTGTTAGTATTTCATAAATCTGTCTTTTGCAGTATAGTACTGTATTAACTTTAGCCTGAAGTAAAGGATAAAATCCTGAATTAAATCAACTGTACTGTATATTTATTTTGAAGCTAACATAAGGTTTGTATTGATAATGTAGTTACTAGGTCAAAGATCAATGGTCTCGGATTGTATAATATTCATTCCTATGTTTGCTTAGTAGGTATACAAAGGATTGCCTTTAGTTGCACATCACATCATATATAGTCATAAAGTTTCATCCTGGGCTAGTAGGAAAAATTTATGTTTTTTAAGGTTATATGAGTAAATTAATGGTGTTAGGCTCCAAAATAATATACTGTACCTCTTATGTATAATATTGTCCATTATTTGGAGTAAAATTTTATTATGCACTGTAAGATTTTGTATATGGTAAAAGTGCAAAGATGATGATAATGATGTGTTGAAAAGTTTTCCTCCTAAATTATTAATAATAATACAGAGAGAATAATCACACTATCATGACGAATCAACGAGAAAATCAGTAGGAGCCGTGATGGGAGTTAAAACCTATGCACAGGGTGTTCCCAGGCACACGCTCTAGACAACTAGGCCACGACATGGTCACCATGTTGTGGCCATCTTAATAATAATAAACTCTGGCGACCATCTCAGTAATAATAATAATAATAATAATTTCAATCACCTGGGCTGTAGGAGACTCGAACTGCGGACCCACGCATGTGAGACAGAAGCTCATAGCCCTGTCGAATAATAATAATAAATAATAATAATAATTATTATTATTTTTATTCACAAGAATGTGTGTGGTGCAAAGAACATAAGAGAACATAAGAGTAATGTACAATTGAAAGGACAGGAGTTACACATAATAATGCCACTATTAATAATGCCACTATTAATAATGCCACTATTAATTAATAATATTAATAATGCCACTATTAATGAAGCCACTATTACGCAAATCGTTTCGGGCAAAACTTAGAATTTAGAATTGACTTTAGATCAAGGACAAACTTGAGATTTTAAAAGTTCTGTGTGACAAAATGTAAGCTGATGATTTCACATTGGATAGTATGTAATACAAAATATATATATATATATGTGCATTTTCAGCAGAGTATATTTTTCCAGTATGTCTCAGTGACGGTGTTAATATATTCATGTCACATTATATGAATGGTTTTCATATGTTGCTTACCAAGTAATTAAGGCTTAATGAAATAGAAAATACAGTATACATCTTAATTCAAAGTCTTTTTATATGTGACTTTTCTGCCATGATCCCTTTGAAACTTTAGGAAACAGCTTCACACAGATTCTTCAGACCAGCATAGTAGCCACTAAAATATTAAGACTGAAGGAACATGTCAAATTTTTCTTGGAAAATTATTTTTTTGTAACCTTTGGCAAAAGCAAAAATTTATTAATGCTGGAAAATTCCCTACTTGATGAGACAAGCATTTACTGGCATTTATTTAAAAGTATTAATCTGATTTTTCACACTTTATTAAAATTTATTCTGGTACGAATACAAGCACAATATATTTTATCTCCATAGTAGATCAACAGCTACTGTTTATTAAAATGTAGATAAACACTAGGTTGAAAAGAGACTTCATTGGAGATTACATTTATCTTGAGGTTATCTTGAGATGATTTCGGGGCTTTAGTGTCCCCGCGGCCTGGTCCTCGACCAGGCCTCCACCCCCAGGAAGCAGCCCGTGACAGCTGACTAACACCCAGGTACCTATTTCACTGCTAGGTAACAGGGGCATAGGGTGAAAGAAACTCTGCCCATTGTTTCTCGCCGCCGCCCGGGATCGAACCCGGGACCACAGGATCACAAGTCCAGTGTGCTGTTTAGCCTGTAGGGATACTATAAAATCTAATAGAGATACACCAGACTTGTTGTTTATAAAGGAAAAAGTAGGAGAGGTGAAGGTGGGAGTGAGGTCAGGGAAGTGAAGGTGAGGGTGAGGGGAGGCCTTACAGCTGAGTAGACATCGCTCGGAATTCGTAGTCCTAAGGTTCCGGGTTCGCTCCCCGGCGGAGGCAGAAACAAATGGGCAGAGTTTCTTTCACCCTAATGCCCTTTTCACCTAGCAGTAAATACGTACCTGGGAGTTAGACAGCTGCTACGAGCTGCTTTCCGAGAGGTGTGTATAACAAAAACAAGGCCTGCTTGAAGACCGGGCCGCAGGGACACTAAGCCCCGAAATCATCTCAAGATACCCTCAAAATGGGAAGGTTGTGGGAGGTGAAGGTGGGAGGGGGAGATCAGGGAGGGGAAAGTGAGCTATGAAGGGCCTTACCAGAAAAGGGAGTTCCATTACATTCAATACTTGGTATTTCAAGTAATATTGCAGTAAGTGCGATAGGAGATATCTGTAATTGTGGTGATTTATGGTATCTGTAATCATCAAGCACTTTAATACTACTGAACTGATTTAATGGCATTTCTGCATTGCTACACCACTTGTTAATTCAATATACTGTACACTATAAAGATATAAGCTTTGATTTACATAAGGCCTCACCTCCGAGATCACATCCTACCTTCACTTCTTTTGTTTTTCCTTTTATAAACACCATTCCTGTATAGCTCTGATAGATTTAATAGTCTTTACAAATTCAATTTCACCTTCAATAAAGTCTACTCTTAACTTGGTGTTTCTCTACATTATTGACAATATTTTGTGCTCTCTTTAACCCTCTGTAAAGTGAAAGAAACCTTTTAACTCAATTTTAAATTAACATTATAATGGGAGAAAGTAATTTGTTATTATATTCTGTCATTAGACAAAACATGTCTATAATCAAAGCATCTTGTGTTTTATTTTATTATTTCAGTCATACACTTGTGGCACTGCATGCTTATATCATATGATGAGATCCAGGCAATCTCTACTTACTATGTACATTAATTTTAACAGGCTTTTTTTCTTCAGTATGTTGCTTCTTGCTTTCCATTCTAAACTCTCATGCCAAGGTAAGACCTGTAATGTTAGTGGTAAGTTCTTTGGCATCTCATTTTCAAACCTAATTACATTTTTATATATAATACTCACTCATTTACTCTACTCCTCCTTACTAATATTTAATAAAAAGTCTGACAAAATAAATATTTGAATAGTTGCTTCTATAATTGTTGATAAATATATATATGTACAGAAATCTATATATCTCTATTTTTGTGTTTTTTTTGTAAAGACATGTAGACTATAAACATGCAGTTGCCAAAATAATTTAACTCATTCTACGAAGACTACTCTAGTTGTATTAATTCCCTAAAGATTACTCATGGTATTGACTGAGAATGTTGTCTCAGGGTTCAGAGGAAAGATTCGTGGAGGGGGACGCACAGTATTCTACTGAATATGAAAGTGGCACAGAGTCCAGGGAAGCCGTCAATGCAAGGATTGAACCATACCCTGGAGACCTTAGCAAGGTGAGTCACTAATGTGTCTTAGGTTTAAGGGGAAGAATGTGAATTTCAACACTCACCTCAGTCAGTAGCAGAGGTTGAGAAAGAGGATGTGATGGCTGAGAAAAGCCATATGAACATCTTCAGAAGCAGAGTTATGAAGAGGTGGAGGAATTACAGCCACAAGGGATCCTTCCCATCAGAAGCTGGCTGATACAGCTCACATACAAGAAGCTCTGGTGAATTATGCCATCAGAAAAATTTGCGGTATGAAGTAAAAGGTCAGAAATAGAGGCACAAAGTTCTAATAATGAAATTTTACATTATAATATTTAGACCCTAATCATACTGTACAAGTCAGAAAATGCATGAGAGGGGCTTCTTCACAAGGTGAGCATTTTAGGATAACACAAAAAAGGATCCTGGAAATAAGAAGTGTAGCAGGAACCAAGAAAAGTAAAACACTCATCCTCTACGCTCATCAAAAATACAATATCAGAGCTTACTGTCATGTAAAACTAAATCAATTAACCTAGTGTGTAGGTCTTAATATGATGGTGTTTGTTTTGGTTCTTGTTATACATTTATATATTTTGTTAAATGGCACAGATCTCAAGTAAATTAACACGACCAAGAAAGGTAAGTAAAGGCTTTAGTGCGGCATTAGTGTTGTTGTAGAGGTGTACATATGTCTTGATCTGTACATTTGTGGTAATGTTGTACATTTGTTATGACCTGTTCAGTATATATTGTTGACAATTTTTAACATACCCAGCGGTTTGAACATGTAGCATATTTTTGAGTTGTTAGCTTGCAACACAGTTTGTTCTTAAGCTATCTTTAAACTCGTCAAAGTGTGCACTTGTAACAAATTTATGACATCATATCTTCTTAGGGTTTGAACTTAAAATATCTCGTAGCTGAATGTGATGCACACTCAACTCAAATATATTTTTTCTCTGATCCTAAATTTTAACTTGAGATAGTTTGTTCTGAAATGTGCATTTTGCACAGCAGTTGACTGTAATATGAACTTAAACATCATAATTTTATGTGCATTTTTAACACTCTTAATAAAAAATATACATTAAGCCTTCTTATGTTATGTGTTCTAACATCTGGAAAAGCTATGATATAAGGCTTGATGCAAATTGTTAAATGGAAAATGCTTTGCGGTCTTGGGTTTTTCTCTTCCTTTGATGTAATGACACGCCAACACTCATCTGAACTTTATATATTATAATAGATTAAAACTTGAATATATACATATACAGGTATATATATATATATATATATATATATATATATATATATATATATATATATATATATATATATATATATATATATATATATATATATATATATATATATATATATATATATATATATATATATATATATATATATATATATATATATATATATATATATATATATATATATATATATATATGTATATATATATATATATATATATATATATATATATATATATATATATATATATATATATATATATATATATATATATATATATATATATATATATATATATATATATAATCTCATATATACCACATTCATGCATATATTTTTAACAATTCTCATATGAAAAATTTCTGAAAACAAACATATAATCATCCAAATCAACTCTCTCTATTCCAGTTTTATCTTCTTTCTATCTTTTCTTTGTTATTCAATACTTCTTTCTATTCCTTCTTTCGTAGGCAAAAGAGGAGAAGCCAAAGGAGTCTAAGGTGAATATTTCTGTTTACATTAATCCTGCTAGATTTTTCGTACTTTAGTTATTTTCGCTTGTCTTTCGCGTGTAAATTTTAAAATTCATAAAGTTTAAATCAAATTGAAAATGTGAAAGTCTTGACTGCAATGCTCTTTTTTAAGAAAGTGTTAGATACTATATGTAGAGTTTTCAATTCATTGTCCTTGTACATTATCATGCTAGTTTTGTTGAAAGAGTTTTTTTTAAAGTTGATACCAAAGTGATGTAATAGGCAAATTTATGTAGCTTTTATTTATAATTATAAGTGTAAAATTTTGCGTATATCTTGATTGCAACAAGGAGTTAATGATTTTGACATGTTTTGCATTTTAAATCAATTTGCAAGTCATAGATTCTTGAGTTCATTAGTCAACTTGCATTGTTTATATGGAAGCAGATCGGTGCATTATGTTGTCTTGATTACCCTGTCTCTTCAGCGAGTTAACTTCTTCCATGTTAGTATTTCATTGTCTTGCCTTAGTCAAACGCATATATATATATATACTGTATAGCCTCTTTTACCTGTAGTAATACGATGCGTCCTGTTCCATTAATATCACCATAATTTATACGGTATTTTTAATGCAATGGATGAAGCAAGTTTTTATAGTGCAAAATATGGTTGGTCTTTTTCATGTAGTTAAAGTACCAGTTATATAAATATAAATAAATATATATATATATATATATATATATATATATATATATATATATATATATATATATATATATATATATATATATATATATATATATATATATATATATATATATATATATATATATATATATATATATATATATATATATATATATATATATATATATATATATATATATATATATATATATATATATATATATATATATATATATATATCTGACTGGATTATTTCCAATTTTCCAAATACCTGTAGTTTCTAAATTGAATTTTTATCAATTTTATCAATTCATTATTTTAAAAATAGCAGTCAAAGTGAATCGATATTTTAATTGTAGAAAATAGAACCTATTTTAGAACTATTATCGAATAATTCTTTTAAATTATATAAAATAGAGCCAGTCTCACCTGCATAAGTATAACAGATGCACTAGATCTAGTTATTAATAGCATTCTCTCCTTGGCGGTACAATGACGCATTTCCGTCATAATAACTTTTGTCTCTCCAGTAGATAATTTTTTACTTTTTTATTCACTGAACCCCCTTGATTAGTTTAGTTCCCCTCCCCATTCGTTTATACCTACTACTTTAACATGAGCAGTTTCTCCTTCCATTGTGTTAATTCTTCCCCGGCATCCCCACAAACTCGTAAAAATCCAAAAGAAATAATTTAGCTCTTACAATAAATAACACTTACAATCTTTAACTTGTTTTGGAAATAGCTCATGTAACTGTATTGACACCTCCGTACCTCCTCCGCTTCCCAGATCATTGATTTCGACATGAAGACTCGGACGGAGCACGCGATGGCTGAGAGTGATACCACTAAGGTGACTTTTAGTTCCTCCAGTGCATGGTTAATTCTTGCTATCGGCAGCACTAAAAAATATCTAAACATACAAGTCGCTCAATATCAGACATACATCCCTACTTCCCTCCTCCCCCACTCCCTTAACACATTTGAGGTTTCGCTGCACTCGAGTTTTTGTTTTTGCCGCCACAGCACACATAACCCCTCAGCTTAGTTTTGCCTCTAGTCTTCCCATAGTATGTGTGTGTGCCTCTTTACCTTCCTTCTCAGTCACACTCTACTGCAGAGCCTCATTAATGTGCCTGAGACTGCTTGACATTTTACCACTACCACTTATGTGGTAGATAAAGCAGGCTTCTAAATGGAGACCCTTTTGAAGTAAGTGAATGAGATGCATATATATATTTCTAAATATATATATATATATACAGTACAGTAAAAGAAAAAATTAAGCATTATAATGAATAAAGAAAGTGAATGAAACATCAAGTGAAAGATTAGTAATAAGAAGTGAGAAAGTTTGTTTTTGAGCAAAATCAAGTACAATAAGTGAAAGAAAAAGAAAGAATGGAAGAGAATGAGAATGAAAGACAGTAAGTGAATGAATATGCAGTGCAAGCAAAAAAGAAGCAAGAAATGTAAAAAAAAAGAGTAAATGCAGTTAGTGGCAAAAGAGAGATAAATGAATGAAAGAGATAGATAGATAGAGAGAGAAAGGCAAGATGAGAAACATAAAAAAGGGTGGAAATAATGTGCCATTTAGAAATCTAACTTCCAACACAACCAGCACTTCTTGCATTCCCTGGAACCACAGGCACCACTTCTTCTGTGTAACACCAGTCAGTCAGCAGCTACTGTAGTTCTTACCACAGCACTGTAGGCAGTCATTAGAATGCACAGGTTTCTTGAGGCCCAGGTTCCGGGGAGTGTCGTGGGAGCATAAGCCTGAAGCTTTTTTGCCACCCATGGTGTGATGGCTTTCTGTGTTGATGGCACTGTGGTATTGTTTCTAGGCACCTGCAGGGAAAGGGAGGCCCACAGAAGCCTCTGCAGATAAAGAGAGCAAAAAGATGGGTTTCGAGGCAAAAATGATGCAGATTACGAAAACTGTGCCCTCGGCAGCGGCCTCTGAGAAGGTGAACATTTGCATGCTTTTCCTGCATGCATATTGAATTGATTTGCCAAGAGTAAACAGAATGGTGTTTACTAATAAATATATATATTTTGAGGAAATGTAGATAATATTAATTAATAGTTGTCCTTGAAAGGACCACCCTTTTAATTTTGTAATGGAAAGTTAGACTTTTTGTCAATATTGTTATCAAAACCTGTGTACAACACATCACAGGGTGAGGAAGTAAGGGAGAAACCACCACAAGTCAAGCTTCAGGTTCACCCTGATGTTAAAGAGCTTAAGCAAAAGCCTCCAGTACAGTGTGAGGGTCAGTCTCAGATTCCTGAAAGTATTCATGGCCAAACCCTGGACCAATCTGATGCCCAGCTTGAGACTAAAGCTGCAGGACAAACTAAATTGGAAAAGAAAATACTGGATGAATTATCTGGTGAAGCTCAGGAACATGTTAAAATGAATAGGAGTAAACAGCTAAATTTTGAAGCTAAACTTAGAGAACTACAACAGGGCCAACCAACCCACTCTTCTCAAGCACAGGTGAATAGTGCTGTCAGTTTAATACTTTTTATATATGTGTACGAAAAAGAACCATTTCTTGGAATTTTTTAGAACATCTGAAGCTTCATTTACCTTCTACAAGGTTTTCAAGCAAGACACTCTTACTTGAGTGATTACAATATTCTTTTTTAAATTTAAGTCTCTTCTTGGGGCATGTTGAGTGACTTTAAAGTGGGCCGCGACAAAGCATGCTATTCCAATCGCTTCTTGCATGGCAAGCACGAAAACTGAACTTGGCGGGTTTCTGGGCACTCGCTGCCAAACCAATGCCGTCACTCTGTCCCACATATTTCTCTCTTGTTCAACAACACTTATGAGTTTTAAATACTTGTGGAGTTTCAGAAGGCTGTACCGACATCCTCCTCTTTGTTATCTTCTCTGTTGAGTCAAGAATTATTCTTATCATTCTAAATACCCTCTTGACATTCAGAGGGTTACTATGAACGCATGTCATCATTATTATTATGGAGATACCTGACTTTCTCAATGAACTGTATGTATGTCATGGGAAGAGATTAATTTGACCTAACATGCAAGCACTTAAGCATGAGAATCTTGATGAATGTTTTACTCTTAACTATCTTGGGCCTTAAGCAGTGGATTTTTTGCTCTTGTTATATATCTTCTATAAACTTTAAAAAGATTTAATATATTGCTTGATTATTTTAAAAGTTTACTTCATAATTTTAAAATACATTTATTTATTGCTTATAGGTACAGAACTATAGATTTATTTTAGAGTATATTTTTTTTAGGCTTTAATAATGCTGTACATGTATACAGTATAAATTTTATACATTGCGAAGCATAATGTTACACATTAAATAGTCATACATGCATATTAATACCTTGAAAATATAAGATTGTGACATCACACACACACACAAGAAGAGACAGATTCAAGCTAAGGAAACAAAGATACCTAAAAAATACTAGAAAGTTTTCTTTTGCAAACAGAGTGGTAGATGATTGGAACAAGTTAAGTGAGAAGGTGGTGGTGGCCAAAACCATCATTAGTTTCAAAACATTATATGACAAAGAATACTGGGAAGACGGGATACCATGAGCGTAACTCTCATCCTGTAACTACACTCAGGTAATTACACTTACACAAATAGGAGCTATGATGAGTCTTGAGGTATTAACCCTGTTAAAACTAATAAATAGAAGGAAATGAGGCATCATGATCACCACTTACAAAATTGTGAAAGGAATTGACAACATTTACAATGAGGAATTTTAAAAACCTGCAACTTGAGACAAGAGGCCACAGACTCAAGCTAAGAAAATAAAGGTGCTGAAATAATTTCCAAACGTTCTTGTTTGCCAACAAATTTAAATGAGAAAGTGCTAGATGCCAAAACAAGAGTCCACCAGGGGTCACTCCTGGGGCTTTCACTGTTTCTGATATATTTTAATAACCTATGCGGAAGGAATAGGTATCTAAACTGTATCTAAAGTTTTATGTTTTTGGATGACTCAAAGATGATTAGAACAAAAATTGTAGATGAAAACTTTGATAGGATGCAGGAATAGTTATGTGAATGGCTGTATAATATAATTCTAGTGATTGACAAATAATGAAGCTGGAAAGAATGGACCATCTGGAAGTAAAGACACACCAAGGGTCAGGCAGACAAAAGGACCTGAGGGTTTATATCACTCCAAACACACCTGTCTGCTGAGGTACACACAAATTAGATCAATTTAAAGACTGGCAAACTTTAAAACTGCCTTTGGGAATTTGAACATGGCAATGTACACCAAATAAATAAAACTAGTCCATAAACACAGAATTAGCATGGAGTCCTCATCTAGTTAGGCATATAAAAAAGCTTAAGAAAGTTAAAAGAGATGAACCTCGTATCTCTAGAAGAGCAAACAATCAGAAGGAAATCTGATCCCAATGTGTGCTCATAAGATTTTTTACAGGGTGGACATGGCCAGGCTGTTCAACATAGGACGGATCAGAAAAATGGGAACATGAATGGAAGGAAAATGAACAATAAGTCAGAAATACAGTACTGTACATCTTAATTGTTTTTTTCATTTTAAGGATAGTGAAATGGAAAGAAGTACAGAGAGATTAGTGGAGGTTGGCGTGTTATATGACTCTACATTCAAAAGTAGGTACAATAGAATCCAAGTGGCTAGTATAATAAATTATGCTAGTTGATGAATAGTTAAAGAGGAGGGCCTAGTAGCTGGAGCTCAACCATTTCAAACAGCTAGATGAAGTGAGGTTAGTCAACAGACACACACACACACAAATGTTATGGAATGTGGAATGGGAGAACATAGATCCCACACAACTATAAATTCTGTGAGAAATCTTTAAAGAATTCTGATAAAAGAGATCTAAGGGTGGTTCTAGATAGAAAACTATCACCTGTGGACCACATAAAGAACATCGTGTGAGGAGCCTATGCTACACTTTCTAACTTCAGAATTGCTTTTAAATACATGGATGGCGAAATACTAAAGAAATTATTCACGACTTTTGTTAGGTAAAATCTAGAATATGCAGCAGTTGTGTGGTGCCCATATCTTAAGAGGCACATCAACAAACTGGAAAAGGTGCAAAGACATGCAACTAAATGGCTCCCAGAACTGAAGGACAAGAGCTGCGAGGAGAGGTTAGAGGCATTAAATATACCAAAACCAGAAGATAGAAGAAAAGGAGGCGATATGATCACTACATACAAAATAGCAATGGGAGTCGATAAAATTGATAGGGAAGAATTCCTGAGGCCTGGAACTTCAAGAACAAGAGGTCATAGATTTAAACTAACTAAACAAAGCTGACCAAAGAAATATAAGAAAACTCAGTTTCGCAAACAGAGGAGTAGACGATTGGAACAAGCTAGGTGAGAAGGTGGTGGAGGCTAAAACCGTCAGCAATTTCAAAGCGTTATATGACAAAGAGTGCTGGGAAGATGGGACACTATGAGCGTAGCTCTCATCCTGTTACTACACTTGGGTAATTACACACACACACACCCATGCATACATATATATATATTTATTAGGTGAGTTGAGTACTCATATTAGGTGAGGTAAGTACACACACATTAGGTGAGGCAAGTACATGTATTAGATGAGGTGAGTATACACACATTAAGTGAGGTGAGTACACATATTAGGTAAGTAACTAAGTACACACACATATTTAGTGTGGTAAATACACCACACATTTTAGGGGAAGTAAGTTCACACATATTAGGTGTGGTGAGTACACCACACATTTTAAGTGAATTTACATTCATGCATCTGCATTTTATTTCAAGTGATAATTATAAATGTTGCTAATGATAAATGCATCCAATTTTAGACAAACATTGCAATATTGTTTATGACAACTGTTAAATAACATCATTCACTGTTATATTCAACATACAATTTGCTTTGAATCTGTATTGCTGTCTACACTACGTATATTTTTGGTGTCCATGATCGAGGGATATGGATTGATTTTTTAACATTCTAGTTTTCTTAGTCACTTATGTGAAGACAGATGCTTGTGAAAGTATGATTACTTTCATTGCTTATAATTAATTCTATCAGATGCATTTTTACCAACAATATTTAGTGTCTGTTAGCGTATAGGGTTGACATTGTTGTTGGTGTTGCTGGAAATGCGTTCTTTGTACTACAGTGTGTATTCAAGGATGAGAATAATTACTCTTTCTGCTATGTGTTCAGAGTGGTCCCTCACCGGCCACTTTGAATCGGCCAGCTGAACAGGTAAATAGACAGAGATCCTTCGAAGAAAAAATGCGACAGATGAAAGGAATCCTAAAACTTCCACCGCTACCCACATCCCTACCTACCTCCTTGCCCATCAAGGTGATTTTTTTTATGAAATAAATTCTTGAAATTTATGGAGAAGTGAGACTTGAAATGTTCACACTTGGAGCATGCCGAGTTTGAATACAATTAAATGACTTTAAAATAATTTAATCTTTTCCACAAACATATTGTTCCGAACGCAAAATGTGAATGAATATTATTTCCGTTTTTACGTTTTTCATGTTATACAGTACTTATGCAAGTAATTTTTTATCTTGAAGATAACAAAGGAACATTCAGAAATAAGTTTCCTTTAAACATCACATTTTTTCTTAGATACCTGATATAACGAGAGCCTCAGTGCCTAAACCTCAAGCCAAGGTTACAGTCCTGTCCAGCCAGCCTGCCCATGAGGAACAGGTCAAAGAGGTCAAACAACCGCCTGTTGAGAAGGTGAAGTCTTGGCGTAGTTGAACACTTTTACGTCCATTTATCTTGAATTATTCACATATGCATGTTTATCACATGTTCCATCTTGCTTGTATCATAAGCGTGGTTTTCTTTTGGAACTTGTGGTTCTTTTGGTTCTGAGACCAATTGTAGACAAACCCCCCCTCTAAATCTTAATAGGTTTGGGGTGACATGCGATGCTTCTTCCCTGTAGACGTTGTTTTTAACCTTGCGATAAATGGAAATGAGTGCTGGAGTTTCTGATCCAAAGCTAGTTAGTTGCAAACTGCATAAATAGTGACTCAGTACAGGCTACAAACTGTACTAGAGGTAACAGTGATTCATATGAGTCCTCTGAATGTTACTTGATTATTCTAACAACACACACTTGCTGTAAGGCAAAATTATGGGCTGATAAGATGTCACAAAAATCTTAGTAAAATCACAGTAATGTATATAATTACTGTAATATTTAAATTCCTATCATCAGTAGTCTGAAATTATATTATGAGTTAAAAAAATTTATTTCAGTAAATTCAGTCATATAAGATTTGGTTTTTGTTAGGAAATAAAGCATAGTGTAACACTTTAGTGTTCCGTAGCCATGATATTTTCACTACAGTACTTAACTCACCATCCTCTTTGGACACCCAGTGATACATAATACATTTCTACTCATTTTCTAATTACAGATCAATTTATGGGATTGAAACATTGATTTTGGCATGAAAACGTACAGAAAGGATTTAACATCCATACTGTATATTAAAAGAAAGGGCTAACAGTGTCGAGATTATGTAGTTCTATTGAGTATCAGATTTTATAAACATTTGTAGACAGCACCTCTATTAATAATGAATGATATTAAGTACAGTACTAAAAGTTGCAAATCAATATTAGGTGTATGATAAAACTGACTTTACACAATTTTATTATTCTACATTGCACACCTATTTATAGTCATAAATACTTACTGTATTTTAATATATAAATGTATACAAATTATTAATTTATATCACTGCATAAAGAAAGGCAAGAATTACTCTAATTATGATTATATAGCAAATTTGGAAAATGTAGAATGATTTGTGTGCTGAGCTATCAACTGTAGGCACTGTGATAAGTACAAGGATTACTCTCATTTGCTGTCTGCAGAGCCATTGATGGTTTTAGAAAATGTAAAAATGTATCAAAATGCTGGGAAACGAATGGTCTTGTTTATAAGACCATCTTATCATCACAGGCCAGACCATGGTCCATCTTGGACCATCACAGACCAGACCATTTTTATAAGACCATCTCTCATCTCAATTTTTTTTCTTGCAATGTACCTGTTATCATTTTATAAATTTTGCTAGTATTTACCTACTTAAAATTTTCTGTTAGATTAAGGACCTGCCCGAAATGCTGCGCGTACTAGTAGCTTTACAAGAATGTAATCACTATGCTATATATCCTCACAATCCCCATGTACCTTCTTGTATATATATAAATAAATAAATAAATAAATAAATAAATAAATAAATAAATAAATAAATAAATAAATAAATAATAAAAATTAATGGATACCAATTTTGGGCATGTGAATCATTCTGTGTTATATGATGCAGAAATGAAGATTACAATTTTTAATTTGAAGATGCA